CGCACCGATAAAACAATAAAACGATGATAAGAGACTTGGCAGGGTCCAGATGCAACCGGCTGAAGAAACGCCATCCAAGGAGCCGTCAGCGCCAGGAGCAGAGAGCCGCCCATAGCCAAAGGGGACGACACAGGACCCAGAGGAGACCCAAAACCGAGGCCCCAGGCCCCCACCAGGTCCAAGAGTCCGACCCCCACAGCCACAGCCAACCACCGCTCCCAGCGCAGAGGGCTCCTCCAGAGGACACACTGGGGATACTAAAAACAATACAATAAGTAAAACACTAAAATGTGAGGCTGAAAGGAACTATCACACAAAACATGAATAAAAGCAATAGCAATATAATAAATAATAAAAGATAAATAGAATATATAAAAATGGACTAATAAATACTAATCAAAAGCTAAACTAAAAAGCTAATCTAAAAAGGTGTGTCTTGAGCCTGGCTTTAAAAATATGAATTTTCTCTGCGACCTTGAGCTCCTCCGGCAGACTGTTCCAGAGACGGGGGCCGTAGTGTTGGAAAGACGCCTCACCGTGAGAATGTGTTTCGGGACCAGATTGTGACCAATCACAACGGACCACTGGCCCCCACTTTCTTGAGAAAAGCCACAGGTCTCTTGTTAGCACAGACAGCTGAGGTAAACAAGCGGCGGAGGCTAACCTGAAACTTCCCGTGTCTTCGTTACCGGTTACTGCTTACTCAGCGAAACAGCCAAAAGAAAGTCTCGTTCCTCCGCACTTCCCTGTTCTACTGTATCATTCAATATGGATCCACGTTGTGCGATCCATATTGTAAGACGTGAGCTCCGTAAAGTGGGGGGTGATAGCTTCGTGAGTACGGAGAGGGCGAGCAGAAGAGCGAGGCCAGCGCTCACATTCGAAAATTTCACAAAGTGAGTTAGTGCAGCTTTAAAATTAGTTAAATATCGGGCCGCTATCGTGAAATAATGCAGATTCTAGACCAGTGATCTCCAACCTTTGAGTCGTGGCACACCTTTTTCATTTAAAACTATCACATGGCACCAGCTGAAACTGAAATGTTGTTACACTACAGCCTTTATCAACACTACAAAGTCATTCTCAAAGTGTATTATATAGAAAGTTAGACAAGTGCAAAGGTTTTCTAATCTTCTAATTCTGTTTTGTCCACATTGTTTTGACCAAAAAAAAGGTGATATTGGAAAATTTCCCAAGACACACCAAATGACATCTCGAGGCACACAGGTTGAAAAACACTGCTCTAGACAATGTGGTATAGGTCATAATTCAATTCATTTCTATTGAATCTTGTATCGCCCTAAATCAAAACAGCAGTAAAAAGCCGTTAGATTCACCAAAACAGAATCAAACAGTTCAAAAAATGCAATGATAAAAAACACATAGAGCCATTTGTCCATAAGGAGCAGACGACCAATGTCCATAAAAGTTAAAGCTTGGGTATATAACTTTTGTTTCTTAGATTATCTATTGTTCCAGGTTTAAAACAGTTTTGTTCATTTTTTTCTGGTTTTTTCTTCACTAGTTTAAGTGCATAGTGATTTTAATGCCTGGTAAGATTGTGGCGACAGTGGCTCAGTCGGTGGAGCCTGGCCTTTGCCTATCGCATACTTGTAAGAAAGAGCCCGGTTAGTCACTGTTGGAGGCTTTAGGGTGAGAGTGGGTGGCCCTCTCTCTTTCACTTTTCTGTCTGAAAAAACTGAATAAATGAAAATAAAGCTGTTATAAAGCGAATAACCAGATTAAATGGATTTTTATGTCATACTTCCATTTATGGGGGGGTGGTGGGGAAAGTTAGGTAACCCTGCACTAATACAATAATGTCACATTTAAGCTCCTACTTATCTTAAATTTAATCTAATGTCCCTGAATGGATTTAGTTAAAGACGGTCTATGTCACTTTTTTGGTAAAAGGTCGCTCACGGTTCACCAACAGACTCACCCTGCGTCTGAATTCAGCAAAAGTAGCTCCTTTCTGACCCTTACTTCTCACATTAATTGACGTTTTTGGTATAAAACTTAACCAAAGACGCACTAAAACATCTGTAAAAAGGCGTTTTGTTACATTTGACCAAACCTGGATTCCAGCAGCGGCCCAAAAGTAAAATTCTACGCACAAGGAAGTGGGATGGATTTGAATTTGGATGCAGCCCAAGTCATATTTGCAGATTACACCAAAGGCCGACATTTTTTTTGAGGCTATTAACACCTGCGATTTTAAGTTTGTCACATTCACACAGGCAAAGCAACGACCACGGCCCAACATTCCTTCGCTTGCAAATGTTTTGGTTAATTCACTTGTTATTATTTGTTTGGCACACGCCGCCTCAAGCTCCTTACACGGCAGCTCTCGCCTCCTTGCCCCGGCCGCAGCACTTGTAAATCTCCAGCCTCTTAACCCACGCTGTAAGCTTATGGTTACAATCCAGATGTCAAATGATTACGGCAAACAAAATATAGGTCATGCTTCTTCGCCTTCCCCCGAAACGTGGTCTATTTTTAGATGCTTCGGCGTGGGCGAAGGAGCTTTTGCGCAACATCAAACCTGGAGAAAGTAAAATATGGCCATGAAGAGAGCCCCCCCGCACAACAGAAAGTGGTGATTACAATTGACGAGGGTTAATTACTTGCTATGAATAAAACCTGGCTAATGGGCTCTTTCTGTCTATACAAGCAGCCTGCAAATTGTTCTTATTATGAAGCCCCGAGAGAGAGTGATGTAATGCTGTTGGAATAGAGTGTGTAGCGTTTAGGGACAGTGGAAAAAAGTGCGGTCAAACACACATCATCGGCGACTTATCGGTGCATATTTCTGCTGGTTCAAAAGCATGTCAAGTCAATTCCACTTGAAGATATCCAAACGACTGTCATTGAGGCTGAACTGCTGTGGCATTGTGGCGTGTTGGGATTTGGGATCAAAAAATAAAAATAAAAGAAGAGAAAGAAGCGCACCCACACACATCAAAGTTGGCTTGAGTTGTAAAGCCCTTAGGCATGTGACACACAATCCCGGGTCTTTGATTGGGAGAAACTTGCGGGATCTTTCGACAATTCAATTTGGACGTGGATTGTGTTGCGTTGTGTTGTGTGTGTGCTATTGTAAATCTCATTTGAAAGGAAAAAAACGCCGAGATAGAGCTTCCCACATGAATTTACAAAACAATGTGTCGTCCATAAATACAGTTGTATTTGAAGTTTACACCCATTGAATTGTTTTGTCTGTTTTTAGAATAGACAGAGTGGTGGGTTATTAACGAACAGTTGTAGTGTGACGGTTTAGTGTCTAATAAAAGGGATTTTTTCATTGTCAAGTTAGAACATTATTGAGCCGATTTGTGGAGATCTCAAAATGCGCCGTTCATGCAAGACAGGCCAGGAATTGACGCGAGCTGAAAGCCTTTTGCCGACAAAATTAGCAGCTTTACAATCAGAGGGTAAATGGACTTTAGTCATCTGCCCTTTGTGGACCAATGGCTCTATGTGTATGTTTTTTTTTTTTTTACAATTGCATTTCTTGTGTTTCTGTTTGATTCTCTGATCTGTTTTGGCGAATCGACAGCTTTGCAAAGTCCTCTGCGATAACTGTTAGGGCTGTACAAAAGTAAATTGCATTGAATTGAATGAAGAACCTCATCCAGAACTACCACAAAAATACTCAACGCCGGTAGATGTTAAGGATGATTTTACAGGCTAAATTGAGAATTGGGGGAGGGAGACCTTTTTGGGCCGAGATACACCTTTTACATTGAAAACAATCCCATGGTCAGTTCCACACCCCCAACTGACGAAAAAATGGAAAGGAACGCAAACTCATTCTCATGTATTATATAGACAACCAAAAAAAGTCTTTCTAATCTCCTCACATTATTTTCTTTTTGACCAATAGATATTCAATTACTGCCTAAGGCCCAACAAACAACATCTCAAGGCACATCAGCATCTCACACTGACTTAGTTTATTATAGGTCTGTTCTATTGAGCAACAAGTCCGCAGTGTAGCACCTGCAGGTTGTATTGATGAAGAGAGCAAGCAGCAGCAGATGAAAAACTACTTTGTCAATGAGCTGGAGTGGCCATGCCCATGCTCCATTAGTCACAAAACCTTGGATTGCACTCATACAGTGTACAGCAGGAGATGGCCAACTATCTCTATCACCAGCACAATTTCAGCACATCAACAGCCCTTCCCATTCTCATTTGTGTATGAAAATGATGCAAAGCCACTCTATCCATCGGGAGCCCTGTCATTTCCAACACCGACAAGATACGCCTGCAAGAGATGGTAAAAAAAAATCCACGCCCACGCCATTCCAACACACAGCTGGGTTTCATTAAGAGCCTAGAATAAGCCAAATCAACCCGCTATGTGACGAGAAACTAATTCATATTCCATGCATGTTACAAATCTGGTCATGGACATCTCAAAAGGCCCATTGTGCGTGTCTGCAAAAAAAACGGCTCAAAACGTGATGTGGCTGCGTAACGTGTAGGTTATAGTAGTAAAGGTGAGGGGGGGAAACGCGCGCCCGACTGTGATTGATGCATACGCGCCGATTGTCTATGCGTCAAGTGCATCCACTTTGATCGCGTCTACACACATCACGTAAAGCGGCGTGGGGTGATGGCAGGGGAGAGAGGGAGGGGTAGGGGGGTTGGGGTGCGAGAGACAGCGGCACGGACACACCTGAAGCAAAAAAAAATAATACATTGCAGACACGGCGCGGCTGGCTTTACCCTCATCTCATCCAAAACGCACAAAGACGTAATGGCGCAGCGACGCAAATGTGCACCAAGCAAAGCGAAACCAATGCAAACCAGGCAGATTTGGTTTGCGCGCCTTCTCCAATACAACACTTGCAGAGAGGCGCGCGTCCCCGACCCGAAATCACTGCGAAATCCGCGCGTAAAAGGCAGGCGAGGGTGGACAGGATCGCGTCGCCATTGCAAGACTATAGAGACGCGCGCTTGACTTAAAGACGTGCATGCAAGCGGTTGTGTACCTTTGCTCTCCTGTCCCTCGTCCTGGTTCTCCTCAGCGTTGGACTCCATGGCTGGTTTCGTTCCGTCCATTGTTCCAGAGATGTATAGAGTATCCCGTGGCGCGCGTGGATGCTGCTGGATCGCGTCTCGGATGACTGGATGGCCCCCCTCCTGCGCGCCCGTAGCACAGCCTCTCTCTCTCTCTCTATCCCGTGCACACCCGCCCTTTTCCGTCTCTCTCTCTCCTCCCTTCTTTTCCTTTCACGTTCCCGAGCCTCCACACTCTCGTCTCTGATGTGGACAATCTACTTTTGGAGATGGATTTGTTCCTGCGCAAAAGCCAGATTTCATATTGATGCTCTGCCAGTGTGTTCTGCAGCTGGTGCGGAAAAACCAGGGTAATATAGGTCCATTTATACAGGCTGCATCCAAAATGTGTATAGGAGCAGCACAAGCTTCCAAAAACAAAATACAGAAATGCCACACATGCTGTATTCTTTAGCATTTGACCCAATTCCTTTACTTACATTTGACCCAATTCCTTTACTTACATTATTATGGATCCTTATGCAGAATAACAGTAAGGTTTGTGATGGCATTTCCACTGTTGGTACCCATGTGTGTGTACGTGTGTGCGTGTGTGTGTGTGTGTAATTTTAATAATGAATGAATTAATGACATTTCAATAATTCTTTAGGCTTTTTTAAAGATTTGATATGAAACAGGTAAAAGATATAGAGCCCTGCAACTGTATAAAAGAGAGGACTATTAAAATCACTAACTAGAGTTGTGAGGAGACTTTTGAGTAAAGCCAGGTCACTGTATAGGAAGTGTCCTGGATTGAACTCTGGATGGAGAAATTCTGCTGCTTTGGCGTCTATGAGGGTTTTTACTTCAAGTTTTAGGTACTTGGTATGAAGTACAGGAAGGAAATGTGCAATGTATTGATTGGCTCTATGAAAGTCATGTGTAACTTGGACACGCACACACACACACTTATGCACACACAAACACACACATGCACACAGGTGACACACAAGTTACTCTACACTGTGGGAAAATCGAACCAAAGGAACAGTTACCATGGAAACAAGGACGAGAGAACAAGTCAGGTAACTGTAAATGTGAGCAAAGTAAGAAAGTGTTGTAAATGTAAATATATATATAAAAAACTACATTTCTGTTAATCATTTATATATATATTTACATTTACAAGACGGCACTTGTGTTTGGTTGTGCCTTTGTGATCTTGGTCCGTGAAAAGTGCTATATACAAATACACTTTTCTTACTTATGGATAAAAAAGTGACACACCGAGACGATTCTGACAGATTTTTCTACTGTATGATAACTCTGCCTATACGTGACTTTTCTGAGAGACTGAAATGTAAATATGTGTATCATGGGCACAGACAGCCGCCCTCCCCCTCTCCATCTGCTGAAGAAGGAGACGAGGGAGAGAAGATACGAGCAAAGACACTCGCCGGCGTGTGAGCGAGATGAGTGAGCAATTGTGGCGGCCATTGTGGTTTTTGGTTTTCCCGCCCACGTGAGCGTTTGAACCTCAACCATCATCACCGCTCTACACTACAAGCCCACACAAAAGAAACTGTGCAACACCAACATGTTCATTCCATTTGAAAAAGAATGAAACCCTAAAGAAATGTGCTATTTATTCTGATGCGTCTTTTGGCTACATCCAGATTTGGACAACGCCCGTTTATAGGCAGCTCCAGATACAGTGGGGCAAAAAAGTATTTAGTCAGCCACTGATGGTGTAAGTTCTCCCACTTAAAATAATGACAGAGGTCTGTAATTTTCATCATAGGTACACTTTAGCTGTGAGACAGAATGTGAAAAAAAAGAATTCACATTGTAGGATTTTTAAAGAATTTATTTGTAAATTATGGTGGAAAATAAGTATTTGGTCAATAACAAAAATTCAACTCAATACTTTTTAATATAACCTTTGTTGGCAATAACAGAGGTCAACGATTACTATAGGTCTTTACCAGGTTTGCACACACAGTAGCTGGTATTTTGGTCCATTCCTCCATGCAGATCTTCTCGAGAGCAGTGAACACGGACTTTCAACTCTCTCCAAGATTTTCAATGGGGTTGAGGTCTAGAGACTGGTTAGGCCACTCCAGGACTTTCAAATGCTTCTTACGGAGACACAACTTCGTTGCCCGGGCGGTGTGTTTGGGATCATTGTCATGCTGGAAGACCCAGCCACGTTTCATCTTCAAAGCTCTCACTGATGGAAGGAGGTTTTGGCTCAAAATCTCACAATACATGGCCCCATTCATTCTTTCCTCAACACGGATCAGTCGTCCTGTCGCCTTAGCAGAAAAACAGCCCCAAAGCATGACGTTTCCACCCCCATGCTTCACAGTAGGTATGGTGTTCTTGGGATGCAACTCTGTATCCAAACACGACGAGTTGAGTTGGTTTCATCTGACCACATGACATTCTCCCAATCCTCTGCTGTATCATCCATGTGCTCCCTGGCAAACTTCAGACGGGCCTGGACATGCACTGGCTTCAGCAGGGGGACACGTCTGGCACTGCAGGATTTGATTCCCTGTCGTCGTAGCGTGCTACTGATGGTAACCTTTGTTATTTTGGTCCCAGCTCTCTGCAGGTCATTCACCAGGTCCCCCCTCCCCCCAGGTTCACCGTTCTAATGATCATTATGACCACACGGGATGAGATCTTGCGATCGAGGGAGATTATCATTGGTCTTGTATATCTTCCATTTTCTGATAATTGCTCCCACAGTTGATTTGTTCACACCAAGCTGCTTGCCTATTGTAGATTCACTCTTCCCAGTCTGGTGCAGGTCTACAATTCTTTTCCTGGTGTCCTTCAACAGCTCTTTGGTCTTGGCCATAGTGGAGGTTGGAGTTGGACTGTTTGAGGCTGTGGACAGGTGTCTTTTATACAGATAACGAGTTCAAACAGGTGCCATTAATACAGGTAACAAGTGGAGGACAGAAGAGCTTCTTAAAGAAGAAGTTACAGGTCTGTGAGAGCCAGAGATCTTCCATGTTTGAAGTGACCAAATACTTATTTTCCACCATAATTTACAAATAAATTCTTTAAAAATCCTACAATGTGAATTCCTGGATTTTTTTTCACATTCTGTCTCTCACAGTTGAAGTGTACTGTTGCTTGATTGTATATTCATGTTTATATAATTGCGTGTGTACTGTGAGCACATTAGGCAATATGTACAAAAGGTCATGTAAACAAAGGAATATAAATATCTTAATTACTACTGAATGAATGGATTCTGCTTGAATGAATAAAATCAATCCATCGATCCAACCTTCTCAAAAACCTCCACATTCATCAATCCAAACAAAAATTCACAAATACCAGCACGGACCTGTGCTTAATAAACTACAACTATTGCTGCCCGTCACCTCATTTCTCAATAATAACCCCCAAAAAACAATGTCGGCCATCTGCTGAGAATCCTCTTATTTTAATACTGACCCACGTGGCCATAGTGGGAGACAAAGCCCATCCCACTTAACTGTCTACACCCCCCCCCCCCTCTCTCACTGGTCCCACAGAGGAAAAACAAAGGTGACCCCACACCCCCCTGACATAGGACACTGCCCGTTTGACACGCTGGAGGTTTTGCCGAGCGCTGATCCCCCCAGGGCTGTAATCAAGCCTGGATGTGAGCCATATGCTGTTACCAGGTCAGCTTTTTGACGTGTCACTGGTTTTGAGGGAGTGAAGAAATTCGAGAGGCTTCAGAGGGCATCAATGAGGAGCAGGGATTGTTTTTTTTGTTTTTTTTTTTAAGTTTGCACCGGAAAGACAGGCACCCACTGACTGATCTCGCTTGAGGCATCGTTTTTCAGCTCACTCAGAAATCTGTCAAAAACAACAAACAGTGACTTGAAGGGCTGGTTTAAGTATCAAGAAGGTCCGACTTTCTGTTTATTAATGAAAAATAAAGTTGGGTAACAACGAAAAATTAAAGTAGGTGCCCCAGCCTCATGAAAACTCTAGTTACGAGTTTAATCTTGCCCTTAAAGTCACAATAATGTCATTATAAGGTTCATCTCACTCCTTTTCAAACTGTGTAACGCAGGGGTGTCTAAACATTTCAGTAACTTTTCACTTTAGTTCGCTAGACAAGTCCCGAAAAAGTCTTGACTGGCATCGGGCTGTACTGAGCTTTAAGATGATCTAGAACAGAGCTGAAGTTGGCTGAATAATGAAATGTTTACCATCTCTCCAGCTTCATTAGCGGAAGTGACGCAACCAAAAACCACTTCAGTACAGTATGCGCATAAATAAATAATGTCAACGACTGAATTCCAGATGTACTGGGCGTTAGAATGACACGTCTATATGGGCTGAGCTGGAGTTGGATGGATGACAAAGTGAACTTGTGATCTCAAATACTACTTTGAGTTAGCAAGGCAGAGGGCCACATAAAATAAGTTTGCAACTGTCTCCTGGGTGTAAGTTTGGACATACCTGTGTAACCGTTTAATTTGTATCTGGTTTATGTGTGCATGTGGTTTAGAAAATACAAAAATATATATATATACACACATTGTAGCATTAAAATCATAAGGTTTTTGCAGTTTTCAAGTAAAGATTTTGTAGAATTCAAGTGAAAGAGTTGAAGAAAATGACAAAAGCCATCAGCATGGGTTAAAGTTGAAAAAATTCCTGAGCCTGAACCATCTATATGAATCATAGAATGATCACTAATAAGCGTTTTTTATAAGCGCCTTTATACGCTCATACATATAATTTATATCTATTTATTGCCAACAACTGATGTTTATTATAAACATCAGTTGTTGGCAATAAATACATCATCTGACTATTGAATTGTTACTTAAATGTAAAGCCTCACCTTGCCAAGACCTTTCTGCAAGTACCCCTAGTTTGGATTTGTGTGATAATGTAAAAAAAAAAAAAAAACATACCACATCACAGTAAGTGAATATACTATTTTCTTTTTTTTAATTATTATTGATGTTATTACTAACATTTTATGTGTAAACTGTAAACTGATTAAACATCCAAACTAGACATCAGATATGACATACAAA